CCCAACAACTTATCAGAGGCACACATTTCCTCCCCAAAGCTGACTCAATGGAACAGTCCGCTCAGCCACCAGAGCAAACTACAACAGTTTCGAACGTGAATCCGGACTCTTTCCCCAACACGACTCAAGTGTTAACACAAGTTATTTCACCAACAGCTGCAAAATGGCATCGCCCGTGACCCCCAGACCGTGACACAGGGACCCATCTCATCACCCTTCTGCTGGTAGCGTGGACATCACGACTCCACCCCGGAAAGGGGGGGGCCACGGAGAACACACTCGCGAAGAATGGGTGCGGTGCGAGGGGAAGGGAAACAGTTGGTGTGCACTGCTGCCGCGAGGCCAGAGGCGAACCTCTACAAACACACACACACACACACACACACACACACACCCCTCCATCACAACCCCCCCACCCCACCCTCACCCTCACCCCACCCCCCGAGCGCAGTTACAAAGCAGTGGGGACGGAAGGACTGGAGGGGGCCAGAGTCTCGGCTTCCGCGCCCGTTCTGAAACTCCGACCCGCGTCTCCACTCTCGTCACCATCAATATTCTGATTCTGGCCAGTGCTCGCGTCCGCGGTCATCCCCGGACCCGCGGGCCCGCGCGGCACCCGGCCCCTGACCCCCATCCCCGTCCAGGACACCAGCTGCCCAAGCAAGACCAGCGCGGTCCAGGCCGCCGCCGGCCCCTCACGACCACACGCCCCAAGACTCGTTGGTGCGAGGCCCGCACCGCCCACTCGACGCCCCGCCGTAGGCCTCCCCCCACCCCCCCCCCTCCACTCCCAACCCTGGCTGCGCCACCACGGCCATTTCCTCAACGGCTCCGCCTCAACGGTTAGGAGGCCGCTCGCTAGTTCCACTGCCCCCGGAGGCCCGGCGGACGCCGCAACTCTTCCCTAACGCGCCCCACCGTCAAGGAAGCCCTTCTGGGCACCCAGCTCAACCTGTCGGCTCAAAGAGGCCTCCGCGTGGGTCTCCTAGATTCGCTGCAGCCTGGCGTCAAGTCTCCAAGCCTCGGTTATCACCTCTGCGCCTCAAGCGGCCAAGGGAGGGCGGGAAGCGCCCGTCCAATCGGCGTCGCGTGCGGTTCGGCATCACATCCAATCAGCGCCGCCGCCCGACAGGCCCCGCCCCTCGCACCAGCGCAGACACCTCCCAAGGTCGGAAAGGGAGGGCCGAGGTGGGCGCGGCTCGGGGCTTCAGGTGAGTGGGCGGCCGCGCACAAGCCAGACGCCGACCCCGACCCCTAACCCCGCTCGCCCACGGCCGCGCCGCGAGAGGCGGCGCCAGCATCCTTCCTCTGCCCTCTCTTCCCTCCAGCGGTGTGGACGCGCTGGAGGGGTCGACCGGGCCTGCGCTGCTCGCAGGACGTGAACCTGAAGGGCCAGAAGCGCTGGCGGCCCAAGGAGACCCCGGGCTCCCCACAGCCACGCGAGAAGGCTGGACGGGACCGCAGAGACACGAGGACCCTAGACGAACCTGCCGGGATGCGTGGTCAGAGTTCCCTGAAAGAGGCCCACGTTGCGGGCCAACAGAGGGCAGCAGAACCACTCCTGATCAGCCTCCACTGACCGCCGCCGCGCTCCGCCCCGCCCTCCCGGCCACGCCCAGCGCGCCCCGGCCCCGGCCCCCGCCTCCGCCCTGGCCCTGCGCAGCAGGTGCTGTGAGTGCTGTCACTGGCTTGAATCCCAGACCCTTAGGGGACAGAGCACTGAGGCCGTCTAGGCTTGGCACTGAGCGAATCAAGTGTTTCCCCAGGAATTTTAGAATGTTTCCATTTAAAGTATCAGTTTAAATGATAAAAGCAATAGATGACTGTGTAAATTAGGGAATTCACAAATTACAGCAGACAAGCAGGTCAAAAATTAAAAATAGTGACTCCTCACTTTGCCACTTTTTAGTAGAGGAAAAACGTTTAGAACCCTTTTTATTGTTCAGAAAGTCCAAGGATTATGTCGTGGATTATGTCGTAAACGTCACTACCACATGGAAGAAAATATCATTGATTTTATTTAATTTCATTTGAATTGTTTTTGAATAGGTCTTAATAGATTATGTTAGATGGAAAACCTTATCAGTCATAATCCGTTTGGACGTTCAATTAAATTTAACAAACTGTTACTGGGAGCGTCTTCTCACATGGCAGAGAGAAGGTGGGCTTTGCAGTGGGTTTGAATGCTAACCTTGCTACTTGCCAACGGTGGAACTTTAGGTGAATTACTTAAATCTCTCTGAGCTTCATTCTGTTCAGCTGAGAAATGGGGCTATTATCTACTAGGTAGTGCAGAATTAATTTTATTTCATTAATTGAATTATTTAAATTAATGTATTTAATTTTTTCAGAATTAAATGACATCAAATACTTACAGCACCTAGCATTGTAAGCCAGCAAATAAGAGAGGACATGTTGGTTTCCTTTTCCTGTGTTCAAAGCTCTGTAATTGAGTGACAGTCACCATGGGGGTGGGGGGGGGGCGGCAGATACACAGTAGTTATTCCTACATGGGCTTCAATAAGCACTAAGATGAAGTACAATAACTATTCCATCCCCCGTGTTTTCCTAGAGCTTTCTTCCTATGTAATACTGACCTGGCATAAAAGGATGCATCTCAGTGTCTCAAAGACACACACGACTGTGCTGCTGAAGCTCAGGTGCCATCATAAAATGCATTTATTTATATTGGCAAGATACTAAACATGACAGCATTCTAGGAAGGATAAGACATATGTGAAACGTCTTAACACATTTCTAAAGCCTTTTTTCACACTATTCAGGCCACAAGAAAAACACACTTCAATCAACAACTTGTGCACATATAGTTTAATAGTGAGGCTTAGGTGAAGTCATCTTAAATGGCAGGTATTAAAATATGTTTGAAGAGACAACCCAACAACTGCACAGGTCACAACAAAACTTGAATTTCTAGGCTATGTCACTGTGTTTTCAGGCCTGCAAATCTCCTTAAGCTGTCCCAAAGCTACTTTATTAACTAGGCAGGTATATTTAAGCTTTAAAGTTTTTAAATGTTGATCTTTTTTCAAAGGCACATGGAGGTTTTCTTAATATTGAAGATATAACATTTACTACATATTCCTTGACCAGACCTTTTTTGGCAAATGACCTTTACACAGATTATAAGATTCTCCACATGCCTTTACATAGCAATATATTTGCCAGCTCTTGCTCATACGTGAATGCCGTGGATAACTGCTTTGCACACTGGGCTAGGATCCAAGGCATAGTGGCTGAGGCCCTCACGGGCTTACAGACCTAACTGGACAGTTTGTCAAACAGCAGGAAATGCGACCATGCTTCTCTACCTCTTGCATGTCAATGGAGTTCACAGTGCTAACAGCCAGCAATTGTTCAGTTCAGTCACAATGTTTTAAATCAGAATTTCATATTCTTAGGCCAGAAGGTACCAAAGAAAGCCATCCTTGTTGCTGGAATTTTTAAAACACTGAAGTTGCCATTATAAAAAAAGAAATTGGTTAAAAGGCAAAATTCATCCTTTGCATACTTATTTGACAAACGGTAACAAGCATTCAAATATTTAGAGTTAATTCACTGGTGACAGCTATCACAAGATTTATCACACTGGCTTCAGCTCTTGAAAACCAGCTTCCCAAGTTGGAGACCACATCCACCTTAGCTGGGTTTTCACACCTCTGTGCTAGCCCCTGCTATCGGACCACCACTCAGCACCAAGAGAAATAGCCCCTCGCTGAGTTTTAAGTTGTTGTGGCACTCTGCAGGAGACAATGGCCTTGACTTCTTGGTTGGAGAGTTAAAAAAAACAAAACCAACCATTTAACATTTTAAAATTGGGAAACAAGTCCAGACAAGGTTACAAAGTTATCTATCTAAAGGCACAAAGAATAAAGTTGGCAGGTAGTTGATAAAACCAGGCATATACAAATACAGCTTAAAACAATTAAAATGTATAAATATTTGTGTATTGTTTTTCCTCCAGTCTGGTTGTTGCTGAAAATACCTGCTAGTTCCACTTGGTAATGTGACTTCCAAATGATGACTGCTGGAACCCTGGACACTTAAGAAGACATCAAGAGAGTCACCATAATCATCAAAAAGGTAACTGCAAAGGGCACTGTTGCCCAAATTCCACAGAGTTGCCTGAAAACTGAAATAACATAAGGCAGAATTTCTTTAAATACTTAGGTAGCTCAAACCTAAACAGAATGACTAATAAAGTGCAGATAAACAATTATTAAACGTACAATAAAATATATAAAGTGCAAAGAAACACGCAGAAGGGGCTGTTTTGCTAACTAAAAAAAAGTTCTAAGTGTTTTCCTTCTTGGCAGTTGCTGATGGAGGAGACACACAGCCTAATGGAGCAGCCTGAACTCCCAGGAATGATTGTATGATGACTGAAGAGGCATCAATTTCTTGCCTATTAATAGTTTCCCGGCTGTTAGAAGCCTACAGACATTGGCATGCAAATGTGACTTCAGGTTTTCCTTGTCCCAGGGCAGGAATGCCTCAAGGGACCATGATGGGGGGGGGGGGGTCACAGCATATACATTCTGTTTACAGTGCGCACAAACACACGAGAATGACTTTTCTTTTTTTTAGCTTATTGAATTCAGAATGCTCCCAAGAAGGCATGGGCTAAGGGTAAAAAGTCTCAACATCGCAGTGATGATAAAGAAGAGCTATATTCACAGAGACGCGATCAAGACACATGCAAAAGCCACAGGCTTTCCCAGCGCAGGGTGCAGGCCTTTTCAAAACCACCTGCCTGGGCCTTCTTCATAGGGCCAACTCACTCGTGCATCTACTCACCCAGCACCCCACCCAGCACATGACACAGCCGGGCCTCTGGCATCGGAGGCCACGGTTTAGACCAAGTGACCCAGACGTTTCAAGCATAGGCGGGCCACAGCGAGCACACTTTGCAGCTGCGGGAAGCCAGGTCCGACGGCCCCGGCTTGGGGGTGCGGTGTGAGGCAGGGCCACCTCCCAGAAGCTCAAATAAAGTGGATCCAGCTCTCCTCGCACTCCCCGCGCGGCATGTGCAGTGCGTGGTTGCGGCACGTGAGACTGTAGTCGCGGCCGTCGTTGTTGTCCCAGTGTTCGGTTCCGGCCACACGGTAGCGCAGCGCGAAGTGCACGCGGGAGCCGAGCTCCAGCAGGAAGGGCGGCACCGGGAAGCCGAAGGCGAAGACGTCCTCGGAGCCGCCGGAGCCCGCAGGCCCGCGCCACCGTGCCGCCACTTCGTGCGCGCTGCGCCAGTCCGAGAAGGTGTAGCGCACCGCCACCTGCTTCTCGAAGGCCACGTTACGCACGCGCACCGTGCCGCTGATGCCCAGGTCCGAGCAGGTGACGCGCTCCAGGCACACAAGCTGGCGCCCCAGGCGCTCGCCGAAGTCCGGAGCCTCGACGGGCGGCGGGAAGTCGGGCACCAGGCACTGCAGAGTGAACTCCAGGTCCTGGCTGCTGCAGCACAGGTCCGAATTGATGGCGAGCCGCGACAGCACGTGCAGCGGCACTGACGGGTCTTCGCCCGCATTGAACACCTTGACCTGTGCCAGCTCCAAGCCCAGCGCGTCGGCGAAGCGCACGCGGTGCTGCCGGCTGCAGCCGGGTCGGCACGCAGAGCCCGGAGCGCCCGCGCCCTTTTGGCGGCGCTCGGGCGAGCTGGGCAGCGAGCGCGCCCGCCGCAGGATGATGGGCCGCAGGCGGGGCTCGCAGCCGGACGGTGCGGGCGGCGGCGGCGGCGCGCTGCCCGGGCTCCCCGGGGGCCGGCAGGGCCGCGGCTCCCGGGCCGCGCCGCCGTCCAGGTCCGAGAGGCAGCTGAGGCTCCGCGGGGCGGGCTTCCGGAACCCGACGGTGGCGGGGAGGACCGCCGAGCCCGGGCCTCTGGACATGGCCCGGCGGACCGTCGAGCGATGGGGAGGCGGAACCGAAGGGCGGCCTCCCTCCCGACTCTGCGTCCGCTTCTTCGGTGTCCCGGGACGTGCTCGGCGACCCTGGGGAGGGTCCGCTGGAAATGCCGCGGGCAGAGGACGCAGTGGGCCGGCTGCGCGCTCCCCCAGTCCGCCACCTGGTCCCTCGAGTCCTCCCCCGGGTTTTCCGCTTTGGGCAGGAAAAAAAAAAACAAAAAACCAGCTGGTTTCCAGGACGAACGCTTGCTCGCGCAGACGCTCCTCGGGGCCGCAGCGGAGCGCGGGGTGGCGGCGGCCTTGGGCTTCCTCCGGGTGCGAGGAAGGAGGTGTCCGCCCAGCGGCCCCTCCCCGGCCGCGCGTTACTCACCGCCGCGACTTGGAGGAACTTCCCGGCGAGCCTCCGCCCCGCCCCTCGTGACGCGGCAGGCGCGGACTCCCGCCGCCCAGCGCAGCCTAGCGCAGCCGTCTGCCTCCCTCTCGGTCCCGCGTCACGTGTCCTCCGCCGCCGCGAAACAGGTCTGGTTAGTGTGTGTTTTTGTCCGGCCGGCCGGTAGGCCGGCCCGCCGATCGGTGCCAGATCGGTGTCTGCTCGCGCGGAGGACCCGGAGCGTGCACGCTGCGGTCCCGGGATTTCTGAACTAATGCGGGCGGGGGAGGGGCGCACCACTCGGCCTGCCCAGGAGCAGGTCCCCGGCTCATTTTAAGCCTCGAGGGTAGCCAGCTCTCTGGACGTTTGCGCTGCAACAAGGACCCTAGGCCAGACCGTGGGAGCCTGGCTGCGTAGACGAGAAGCGTCGTGTCCCCGCGTCACCCACAATGCTTTGCCGCGGGGACCGCTGTCCCTGTCCCTGCGGGGTGGGGAGGGGGCGGCACTGCTGCTACTGCTGTCTCTACAGAGGCTCCAAACCGGAGAGGAAGATATGAGAACGAGGGTTAAGACCCTGTGACAAATGATAAGGCTGCCTTTAAGCAGCCTCTGGCGCTTGGGACGCATTTTTGTAGGCAGAATCCAGACTTTTAGCTTTGTTCCCTAATCTTCAGGGAAACCAGAGCTTGCTTTCTGCAGCCTTAGGGACCCTGCAGGCTGTCACCTCTTCTCTCTCAGTAACTTTATCCAGAAAACAGAACAGCCAGGGGTGTAAAGCTTGCCAGGTGAAATGAAGTGGAGAAGATGGGAGTGCACTTTCTAGAGAGTTCTAGAGTGTTCCTGTACCATCCAGAGGGACAAGGCAGCAGGAAAACCAGACTAATGAATTGGTTTGGCGAAAAACGTTTTCTACATCTGAAAAGAATTAAGCAGTTGATTATGGTCTCATTCATTCATTGTAAGGGCCCGCATGTGATTGTCCTTCTCATCATATGTACACAGATCAAAATGGCATACATGCTTATTTTGAAAAATAACAGTTTTAGGAAGGAAATAAGAATGTATAATCCCAACTCTTCCATTTTTTCAGAGGCAGGGGATTTTATGGAAGAAGGAAGATTCACATTCAAATGGGGTGCTTTTAGTAGGCCACTCAAGAGGGGGGAAGCAGCTTTGGGTGGTACCAATCAACAAAATGTCACAGAGAGAGAACACTGTGTGATATGTATTATACTGATAAATTTTTCATGGACTGATGTGATAGTGAAGGCTGGAGGCCTGAAAGGGGCCCTTTCCAATAGAATTCAAGCTCCATGAGAGCAGGATAGGTATCTAACCCTGCTGTTTTCTAGGCACTCTCTTTGTGGAAGGAAGGAATGGATGAATGGACATGGGAACTTTGGAGTAACAGCCAAACTTAATTAGTCCCACAGATTTCCTCAACAAATTATTTCCAAGGAGATTTTGTGGGTGTGTGCATGCGTGTGTATGGGGAGAGAGATGAAATCCATTTATAGTAGTGTGATCTTGTATCTAATACCCGCTGTGAAAAACAAGCAGAATAGACTAAGCCATAAATAGAAGGCAATATCCCCCCATTCAAACTTTTTATACAATTTGTGAATATTTAAGAACAAAAAAGTGAAAAGCAACACGATTAAGGATGATAGGGTGTTTGCAATTGGTACTTACCAACACTGTTCCGTTGCTTCTAGTTCCGGTGGTAAGGCATCCTTCCCAAATATTAGAGGAGGAAAGAAGTCACTTTCCCTGCTGTCAGCATCTTCCAACAGATTTAGCAAGAATATTTTGAGCACTACAGAAAAGGTGATGTTAACTTAAGTAAAATCTCATTTAGATTTGTTCTAGTTTTTCATGTTTCTTTCTTGTGTGTGTTCATGTGTTTAGGGTATTTATTAACTATATGTCTTTCTTTTTTTTTTATGTCTTTCTTTTTAGACAATCTGTCCAACTCTAAATGATGATCAGCCATGTGACTTTTTCAAGAAAGGGAATAGGGTGAATGAATCTTATCAGAAAAGCAGGTAAATAGTTCTTCATATAATTACTTTATCTTGCAAAAGGCTCAGTATCTCAGTTCTCCAGATTGATATGTGTGGTTGGGAGAAAAATATGTCTGTAAACAGAAGTATATACACTATATTTTTTGTCTGACAAATGGTTTTGAACATCACTAGTTGGTAAAAATTCTAGGAGGTCATAATTCTTGCACTGTTAGCAGAATCCACAATTTTGGGTAATCATCTTTCTATGTTTGTTTTTCTTTTCTTAAAAAGGATACTAGTAATAACTTTTATGGATGCACATAGACAGCTAGAGGTAAAGGAAAGTTTTAACACTGTTGGTTATGAGTTCTAAATCATGGCAATTACTTTCTCCATTTCTTCATTTTTTCCAACATTTATTGAGCACATGTTATGCTGCTGGCAATGATTTAACCTCCTCCATGTTTATTAAGAGGTGGCACATTTTCAAGTAATCACTTATTGTGGTGGAGACCTCCAGTGAGTGAACCTCTGAGGTTTCCACAAAGCATGTTTACCATTCTTTTTTTTTTTTTTTTAACCACACCAGACTGATGTTGCTGAGAAGTGCTGTTCATCTTGGTAAAGTGCATTGTTCTTGGTAAATAAGTTGAAAAGAAAATATTTTCAACTCTGATATGAGATGCTGCCTCAGAAATAAATTAGAGGAAGAATCAGTTGCCATGCTAGTAATGTGTACATGTATTCATGAGATCTGCCTCCCCACTGTTTAAAGGGCAGTATTAACAAGACCCTACTGCAGAGCACGGGGAGCTGTGTTCAAAAATACCCCAAGATAAACCATAGCGGGAAAGAATATTTAAAAAAAAGAACGTATATATATATGTATATGTATATGTATATGTATGTGTATATATATATATATATATATATAACTGAATCACCTTGTTGTGTACCAAAAACTAACACATTGAAAATAAACTACACTTCAATTTTTAAAAATGATAAAATTTTAAAGAAAAAAAGTAGCATTTTAAGCCTTTTTAAAAATTCATATTGTGTTATCAGGCATTGTGTGATTTTATTCCTATCCCTCTAAACACTGTTTTCCCTAGTGTGTTTTCTATTTGAAGACACTCTGATGCTTTGATAAGCTTTTGGCTCAAGGTGTAGGTTGTATATGCTACAGTTTTCCTTAGGATATTTGCTGGCTCAGAGTTATCACCAACCAGCAGTTAAGTTCTGTAAAATGTGTATTTTACATCCTGTCTATGTTTAATTTAAAATAGGTATATAAAAGAAAGGTGTGGATTTTACTTGTTTGTGTTATTAAACAGTGCTCATCATTAACAACAGACTGAGCATTCTGCAAGAGATATTTTTCAAAGTACACACAATGGGTTTAAGATGATAATATAAGTACTTTATGAAATGTTAGTGTTTTTCTTAAAAGCTGATATTTGCTGCAAAATGAACCCATGCATTTACTTCTGGCACCTGCTTTATATTATTTCCTAAATAGAGTTATCAAGTGGAAAACTGTCCTGTAACTTGAGAGTTTAGAGGCCTCACATTTTCTAACCCATTGTCATAGCTGAAATGTACAACTAGAGGCTTCTTTTGATTACTTTCTTAAATCATTAGAAGGCCAGTTTGTGTCACATGGACTAAGAATTGCAATTTTATTTCTCGCAGCAATATGAATGCAGGCCCTTCTCGGAATAAAGTACAACATCCCAAGAATTCCAGAAAAAGACAGAGTAAACCCCAAGTCCCCCACATTTCTTCCCAGCTGAAAAGCAGTCTCAGAGGATGTGTCCCCCAGCCAGCTGACGATAAGCTGAAGGAAAGCATTTCCCCAGAAGGAAACCTCAAAAAGAGTCCCCTCAGCCCCAGGTATCGGGGGCCCTCAGGGAACAAGCTGTTTCTGGACTTTCAGTCCATGAAAATCATCAAAGGAGATGCCGAGGAGGAGGACAGTGCCAGCGACCTCTCTGATTCAGAAAGGATTGCCATCTCCCCATCCCCCCTCACACCTCCTGATCTTCACCTTCGAGCAGAAGAGATTGACCCGGTTTACTTTGATCTGCACCCGGGGCAGGGCCCCACCCGGCCTGAATACTGTTACCCCGACTTCCTCCCGCCCCCGTGCAACTCCTGGGACCTACGGGACATGGCCATGCTCCTGCACTCCGAGCGCAGGACAGAGGCTGTGCCCAAAGCTGGGGGGCTCCTGGGCAAGTACGTCAACAGGCTCGTCCAGCTCGAGTGGCTGCAGATCCAGACCGTCCAGTGCGAGAAAGGCAAGGTGGCCAAAGGGAGGCCTCCCACTGCCCCTGGGACCTCGGGGGCCCTGAAGAGCCCTGGGAGAAGCAAGCTGATGCCTAGCGCTCTGTCTAGGCCTCAGCAGGAAGGGCCTCCGAAGTCAGGCCCTTCACGAAAGAAAGACACGCTCTGCGAGGAAGTCCATCCATTCTGTTACACTGGTGAGCCTTCCCCCAGGCCCCTTGATGTGCTGAGCAGTAGCCGATTATGTTCTCAGAAGCACACCCTGGAGGTGCAGACAGAGAAGAAGAAAAAGAAATTTAACAAGAACTCCAGGCTGCAGCCCTGGGACTTATCCTGCGGGGACGGTGTCCCCAAGATCGAGAGCAATGGGAACCTCTGTGCATCCCAGCCACCAGCCGTGATCCTGGATCCCTCAGACGGTTGCAGGGCCGCCCGAGCACCAGCACACACAGGTCTTAAGAAGAAGGGAAATGTGAGTAACTGTGCTCATGCCACGATATCCAGCGAGAAAAAGCTCAAAACTAATGGAGGAAAGCAAAACACGTACAAATTCAAGAAATAACTGAGATGATGAGTTGCAAGGACCTGCAGATGACTCAGTATTAAAGCTCTTCCAAAAGTTCCCCTCCAGTGAATTGTAAGAGACTTTGGGTTTACTGAGCTTGAAGGGGTGGACAGTTCTTTAGTCCACCCACCCTCACCTCCACCCCGGCCACACAGGGTTGTTTTCAAAGAAAGAAATCTTTAGGTAATCATACTTTGTGTTGACAGTCTTAGGCAAACTTGAGGTAAACATCAGCCAAAGTCTGTGCCACAGAAAGAAATAAAACCACTGCTCTCTAGAGGGACTTGAGTGAATTCCACTTCTGAAATCTCAGCCAGGCTAGATACAGCACATGTGAGCTAGTGGGTATGGCTTCAAACAGTAGAGAATCCTGAGTGTCTGAGACAGGGCTCTCTGCACCCTGGCCTTAAAGGATTCAAACAGAAGTTCTGGCTGTTTCACCCCAGGGGAAGCTTGGGCCCTTCCTCAACAGCATCTATTTTGAGCAAAGTCATTTATCACTAAGTTTCCTGCTCTTGGGAGACAGTGGAATCTAGGGCTTTCATGCGCTTTCCCTAACATGGGTTTGTTGTTGTTGTTGTTTTTTAAGAAGGCCTTTTAGAGGTGGTGTGAAGTCAATTTTTTGTATCCTGTCAGTATGCAGACTTCATCCCAGTGGAGGTTGCTGGGTCTAAGCATGGTTGTTGGCATGTGGTGGGAGGAAGAATGAAATGTTGACACCTGGAATTCCCGGCGGCTGGTGTCTCTGAAGAGGTGCCACAGATAAACTGCTTTTTAGAATTTGCAAATGCAGAGCCTATAATCAGACAGATATACACGGAACCACTTTGAGTGGAACCCTTATTACATTCCTGATTTGGGACCTGGGCCTTCTTCTGTCATTAAAATGATGATCTGTTTTCATTTGCAAGAGCAGGACTTTTTAATCTTGCTGGGGGTGCGGGGAGCATGACTAAAGTTACTGAATGAATGTCTTCACATCCTTACATGGCCCTGTGGCTTCCTGACTCTCCTAAATGCTTCTTAGGTTAACTGCTGTTAAGTCACAAAGATCCATGGCTGATTCATGTCATGTCAATGTATGACAAAAACCACTACAATATTGTAAAGTAATTAGCCTCCAACTAATAAAAATAAATGAAAAAAATTTTAAAAAAAAGGCGGCAGGAGGAGAAGGGGACAACAGAGAATGAGATGGTTGGATGGCATCATTGACTTGATGGACATGAGTTTGAGCAAGCTCCGGGAGTTGGTGATGGACAGGGAAGCCTGGCGTGCTGCAGTCCATGAGGTCGCAAAGAGTCGGACACGACTGAGCAACTGAACTGAACTTAAGTCACATCTACTTGTTCCTATGGTGGTGTGAAGTGATTGCTTTTGATATTATTGTAAAAATCTTTAAAACCTTTGGTTGAAAATTCTTGATGTACAGTATGTTTTAATGACTATAGCGGATATTATTCCTTCAAACAATTCTTCTATTTTTCTTTACATATATGTCTCTGTTTTTTCATTTTTGGGGCAAATGAAAAACTTGGCACATTTCATTTGAAAATATTTACCAACTGGCAGACTTTTTACCCAGCAATTCAGTGTCATCCAAGTCACTGTTTAAGTTAACATAAAGACAAGATGCATTTATACATAGTTAAAAATAATGGGTCAAAATTGAATATTAAGATGCCATATGAAAATCTGATCTTAATCATATTAAACAACAAAGATGTTTATGGTAGTCCTTTTCTTTTCAGACTTTATTTCCAGATTCCCTCTTATAGTCTTTCTTCCTCACACTGCCCTACTGGAGAAAGCACTGGTTATGGTAAGATCTTAGGCCTTTTTATAAATGAACAAAAGATGTATATCTGCCCAGCATTACTTCCATGGTTCACAATTATACTGTAACATTTGTACTCAGTATAAGTATGATATTTTTAAAACATATTGTTATTCATAACTGTTCCTTCCTGTGGTTCCTGAGCATTCCCCCACATGTCTTTTGACGGGCCTGCTTCTGTGATCACTGATAGGCAAGTCCTGTCTACACCCTACTCATGATTTCTTTTTCTGCTAGATGTTCATGCAGCTCTGTATGAAGTTGCAGGGCCAATAAATCCCTGTAAGCATGTTATATACACATATATGATCCTGATATTAATCCTGATTAAAAACCCAGGGTTTATGCTGAGCTGCTGCCTCTTGCAGTAATACACCTGTGCAGGAGATCTGGACGGTGACATGGTTTATCTTTCCTGGCCTCATGTATGTCTGAGTTGATTAAGAAATGTTGAGGTAATACCTCGGATGTTACGTTTGTTCCTTGCTCTTTGACTTGGTTGCTTAATTCGGAAGCATAGTTATAATGTCACATGTTAGGACAGTTTGAAAAGCCTGAAAAAGTGGCTTTGCTTGTTTAGTTTTTTGCCTCTGGTTGGTAATTTTAAGAGACATTATTGTGATTGGATCAGAGCTCCTAATGAATATAGGTTCATTACAGAGCAGAAGCACACTTCTATGATTTCTGATGCGCACATCTTAATGCACTAAATGCTGCAGATAAAAATCTTGCCACTTGAGCAGACCGCATTACAGAGTTGAGTCGTGAACTCATTCAGTCCATCAGATCGAAGTCATGGAATCTTGTGACATGAGTCACTGTATTCCTAAGAAGTGCCTGTCATTTCTATGCAGTTGTTTACATACATGTTGCATTTAAATCAATTAAAGTAGCCAATAAAATGGTAGCAAAAAAAGAAACAACCCCAAAGTTTAGAAAAAGTGCTAAGAACTGTTTCAGGCTTGGAATCAGGGAGAAAAGTTGTAAAAACTATAGAAGTGAACTACAAAAATATATCAATATTAGCTACAATTGTTTAGGTTGGGACTATTTAATGGCTATAAACTGACTGAAAGTTTGTAACTTAACTGGGATAGCATGGGGTTGGCAACCTATGACAAAAAAGATGGGAGGAGAGGGTATCACTGGTTTGTAGTGGTTCTTGGGCCTATTTGGTTAGTTTCCAGAGAGAAGAATTTCTACCATTCATGTTTAAATATCACATATTTTCTCTTTCCTTTGTGCTCATTTACAAGAGTAGTAAAACAAAAATATAGACCTCTTGGTGGTACTGTATTTCAAGGTAATAAGCAGTATTTATTATTTATTCATGAACATGTACGGAGCACCATTCAAAATTCAGCATGTTTGTTATTTGCTATGTAATTATTGTATGCTTGGTTTTATATATAATAAAACAATACACAGGTTTTTGTGAATCTGGGCTTTTTCCTTCCTTGAGATCAATTGAATATCGGGAAAACACTATGTGGATTTTTCTGGTATGGTTTTGATTTGCTTTTTATACAGTTCTATTTCAGAATTTGTCTTCGTTCTCCCTGATTAGTTCAAAAAACTGCTGAGGGGGAAATTCTGTCCCAATTACTTTCGTAATTCTGAGCTGCAGACATGACAACAGGACTAGACGCATCTGAGGAAGATTCCTGGCTGCACCTTTGCTGAGTCCCTCTTCCTCTTATCATACACAAGGGTGGTTAGGGACACAGATGGAAATTCAATAAAATTAATACGTTAGAAATAAATTGCATTTTAATGTCGAGCCCTGTGTCTTTTAAGGGAGTCCCCAGGTTAGGAAATAGAAATTGTGAGCAGCTACTGCTGTAAACATTCTGAAAACCTTTTTGTTCCTCTTTCTAAATTCACTCTGACAATGAGGTGTCCTGTTCGGGGTCTGCCAAACAGTGGCAGTTTAAAAAGAATAATTTTGGGGGTGTTAAAAAACAAGTTCACTGAGTAAATTTAAATCTTGTTGACTTTATCCTGTGATTAATGAATTGACAGCATCCAACCTAGCAGACAGAAAGGAGCTGTGAGGGAGGGGCTGTACAAAACGGAAGCTTTACAAACAGAAGGGACTGGACAAGAAAGTGATAACAGCAAAAAGCAGATTGGTTGTGGCAAGGTCACCTTCCTTCAGCGGCCAGGATGGCAAGGGGCAACCAGGCAGATGACTTACCTGACTAGGCTATTCCTGATTACGGTTCCTTTTCCGGAGAGCCGAAACGGTCAGTCTCAGTTGGGTGAAGTAGGGCTTAGCATGAGCGACTCATCTGGGGCTTGCTGTCTCATTTTTAACAGGGGGTTTACAAATAACTGTTTGATATTTTGAAAATGAACCATGCTGGAGGTTTCACATCATTAGTTTGTACATAAAATGGTAGATTATTTTTGGATGTGGCAATTTTCTTATCCACAAGGTGGCGACTAATCCTTTTCAGGCAGCATTGAATTGATTCTGTGATGCTTTCTGATCAAATGAAAGATTTTTACTGTGATCCAGAAGACATGGGGAGGGAGGAGGAGTGTTTGATTTCAGAAACAAGAAAATTTTAAGCTTTTTTTCTCTGAAAGATTTGAGAACTCATTTGAGCAAAAATCAATTTGTATTGGTCTGTACCAAAGGTTTAGAGGTTAGGAGCACTTCCCAGACAGGACCTGAAGTCAAGGAGAAGATGCAAAACAAGGGAACCGTTTGATTGGCTGTGGCTTAAGTGGTTGCACCATTTGGGAAACCCTGACTGGCTGTTTGTGTTTGGGTTGTTTTTCTTACTCTTGAGGCATTTACAAGAAATACTCCACTAAGGGTTTGGTTCCATTTGGTAGGCAAGGAAAGGGTAAAAATCACCTCAGTCCAAAAGCCTCCTTGCATCATTACTTTGACATCATAAAACACTGTTTATAGAACAATGCTCAATGAAGGAACATAAATCATGCATTTTATAAAAATCTTCATAGAGACTCAAAAGATCCAATTCATACATCTCTGTCCTCAGCAGTTCGATGTTTAAGAGATTAACTGAGATAACTCTGGAAAATATACTTGAAATTTTAAAAACGGGATAGTCATATATATCATTGTCCCAGCTTGTTCGATATTTTAGAGAAAATTAATGATGCATATTTAACTTTTGATTCCATT